AAACCTAGATAAATTGACTTATTGTGTCTAGTTATTTATTTGTAGGTTCTTTGGATTTTCTGTAAAAACAATCAAGCTGTGTGTGAATAATGACAGCTTTACTTCTTTTCCTGCCCTTAATCTTTTTTATTTATTTTTCTGGCCTAGAATTGGTAAAATATTAATAGAAATAGTAATAATAGGAATCCTTGTTCCACATCTCAGGTTAAAGCTTTCAATATTTCAACATTAAAAATTGTATTTGCTACATATTTTTTTGTGTGAATAAATTTTATCAGCTTAAGGAAGGGTTTCTTCTATTAGTTTGTTTAGACATTTTTTTTAAAAAAATCAAGGATATTGAAGTTCATCAAATAATTTTTCTGCCTCTATTGCAGATAGATGATAACCTATGATTTTTCTTCTTTATTCTATTAAAGTGGTGAATACCTTTGATTTTTTACTGTTAAGCCATATTTGTATTCCTGTAATAAACCCAAAATTATTGTGATGTATATCCTTTTTAATCTGTCTCTGGATTTTGTTTGCTAATATTTTGTTTAGAATTTTTACAGAAATATTATGTCTATAATTTTTCTTTCTTATAAGTTTCTTCATCAGGTTTAGTATCAAAATTATGCTGGTTTCATAAGGCTATTCAGGAAGCTTTCCTTCTTTTCCTACTTTCTGAAAGAGTTTGTGTACGATTGGTATTATTTCTTCCTTAAATGTTTGGTAGAATTCACAAATGAAGACATATAGTCTTAGAGTTTCCTTTGTGGAAAGGTTTCAATTACAGATTTATTTACCTAACACTTAGAGGACTATTCAAGTTTCCTGTTCTATTTTAGGTTTAATTTGTCATTTCTTTTTCTAATTTCATAATATGGGTGTTTAGATTATTTGTTTTGATTCTTAATTTTCAGGTTGACTTTATTTCTAATTTTTGCATTAAAGGTTAAAAAAATTCCCTATTAACCATTGCTTTACATAAGTTTTGATATGTCATACTTTTCAAAATATTTTCTGATTTACATCATAATTTCTTATTTGATCCAATTTTTATTTAACTTATAAATATAGGGATATTCCACTTTTTATGTTGTTATATATTTTATTTTCTTTTTGATTCCCTTATGGTAAAGGAACATACTTTGTATGAAAATTTTTAAGACTTGATTGTTTATAATGTTGTCAAAATCTTTTACATGCTTAGTGAAATTTTGTCTGCTTATTTTATCAGTTACTGGGAGAAGAGTATTACAATTATCCACTCTAATGATGAGTTTGTGTATTTCTACTTGTGGTTCTGTCTAGTTTTGTGTTGTAATTTTGAGGCTATGTTATTATTTATTGGCATGCTAATTTAGACTTGTTATATCTTCTATTAGAATTGAACCTTGATCATTATGAAATATATATTTTTATCTTTAGCAGTGTTTTTGCATGTTTACATTTTATAATAAAAATATAATTACACAAATTTTCTTTTGTTTAGTGCTTTAATGGTATATCTTTTTTCCAACATTTTATTTTTAACCTTGCTATACGCTTATAGGTAAGTAGTGTCTCTTATAAGCAACATCTAGTGAGTTGTGTATTTTTATCCATTCTGATCAGCTCTCCCTTTTAGAGTAAGTTTATATTTAATGTAATTACCTTTGGGTTCAAGACTATATCATCTTACTATTTGCATTCTATTTGCATCCCATCTGTTCTATGATTATTTGTTTCTACTTTGTTGCCTTTTTAAAATTTATTTTATTTTGTTATTTCGTTTCACTGCACTGTTGGCTTGTTACATTCTTTTCCTATTTTTTAGTGGTTGCCTGGGATTACTACATTAATCACTGACTTACTAAAGTCCAAAATAAATTTTTATTTTTAGCACTTTCTGGACAACACAAGGAGCGTAGAACACAAATACACCATTCACCTTCCTCCCAATTTATAAGCTATTATTGTTGTTAATTTTAATTCTACACACACTTAAAACCCCACAGACATTATTATTATTTTATGCAATTAATACTCACATAGATTTTACAAACATTTGCCATTTCCATTGTTTTAATTCCTTCCTTCATCTCCAAGCTTCTCTATGAGATTCTTTTCCTTCTCTCTGAAACCCTTTATCATTCACTTTAGTATGATGGTTTTTATTTGTCTGAAAATATTTTTATTCTACTGCTTTTTTGAAGGATATTTTAGCAGGGTATGAAACTCTAGATTATCAGTTACTTTCTTTCAGAATTTTGAAGATACCAATGGTTTCCACGGCTTTTGCTGAATAATTTGTTGTCAGTTTTTTTCTCCTTTGAAGAAAATATGCACATTTTTTCCTCTATGTTTAAGATTTTTTCTTTGTGTTTTTGATTTTTAGCAGTTTTACTAGCATGTACCTACATTTGGTTTTCTTTTTATGTAATCTGCTTAAGCTTTGTCATAGTTCCTATCTTTCATCTGTTTGGGGAAATTCTCAGTCATTAGCTCTTATTGCTCATACTAATTTCTCTCTCATCTCCTTCTAGAACTTTTAACCACATCCCATATATTTCTTACTTTCTTTTCTATATTTTCCATTCTTTTTTTCACTGTGCTTCATTCTGTTATTCCTTCTGTCCCATCTTCCAATTAATCAATTCTCTCTTCAGCTGTGTCTAATCTGCTTTTACACCCATCAAATGAGATCCTAAATTTACTTTATTTTTAGCTCAAATATTCCACTTAAATCTTTTTTATTTATATAATCTCCATGACAATGCCAAAAGTATCAGTGCTATTTTCTTTCCTTACACATATCATTATTTTTATTTTAAAGTACCTGTCTGATAACTCAGTTATCTGAATCCTCTTGCTGCCAATTATCTGAATAAACAACTCTCTGTTTTTGTTTATACTTTAATCAATGTTTTTGGTCATATTTCCTTGTCTATTCATATTCTTGTTTATTTTGGATTGGTTGCTAGACATTATATAAGTAAAATCATGCAGGTAGTTTAAGGCTCTTTATAATCTTATTTTCCTCCAGAGAAGATTTATGTTTACTCCTCTCAAGCAGCTGGGATGGGGTAATATCACTTTCAGATAATTTAAACAATCATGGGTTGAGATAATTCTAGGCTGGATTTCTTTCCTTTGAGGATTAAGGCGTAGAATTTTGAAGTAACAACGTATAGCTGGGTACGAGAGCTCCTCCTTCTTAGTAGGTTTTTGAATTCCAATTTTATTCTTTAAGACCAATCAGTCAGTCAAAATCTCTTGTTTTAGCCCTTTAGACTCTCAGACACCTTCTCTGTAATCCAGGGAGCAAAATGGCACTAAGGGTCAGTTCCATTTTCTTGGACTTCCCACTTCTCTTGACTCTTGGCCAAGAAATTCCTCACCACATTGGCACTCCCTAACTTTCAAGCAGATTTTTAAAATATATTTTGTCCTTTTTTTCTAGTTGTTCTCAGAAGATTGTTTGGTCTGGAACACTCAGTCCATTACTGCCAGAAATACAATTCCTTATTACCTCTCTTTTTGATTCTACTTGCCTCTAAAGAAAACATTTCAGGAGAGGTGGAATGGTCAATATGGCACTCATTTATCCAACTATGCAGCTAGCCATTAATTTTTTTACCTACGTCCCTAACCCTAAACCTTTGCTTTTACTGTGCTTACTACCAGCTTCAAAATAAGCTGTAAACTAAGAGTAAAACTGAGATTTCCTTCTTCTGTGACCACAAAGACAATGGCCCTCCTTTAAGAAGTAGGATAACTGAATTAACCCTTGCTGCAGCTGCAAATAGAAGACTGCATAGGAAAGATCATAAATTGTAAAACTAGAGGGAGCCTTAACGATCAAGTCTAGCCCCATTTTCTACTTGAAAGAAATTTAATCTCACGAAAGTAGATGGACCAGCTTAAGGTCACACACCAAGTTATTTGCAGAGCTCAGACTATAAACCAGTCATTCTGCTCAGTCCACAATGTTTCCAATGCAATACAATGCCTTTACCTCTGAGCCATCCCGACGACTATTTCTTTTTATTCTGGTCTGTGTAAACTCCCATAATTTTTATAGGAGACTTAGAGTTCTAGTAAAAAATCATGGTTTATGTGGTTGAGTGTGATTTGGAGCTTCCTTTCTCACTTCAAGCCTCCCATAGACAACATTTTAATTAGGTGACATTTAGTTTAAATGAGCTTCAAGCTCATCAGTGAAAGAAGAAATCAGCGAAACCTGTAATTTCTGTCATTTTTGTGATAGAGAAAGAAAGATGCTTACATGATGAAATGACCCCATTTGTTAACTATTTACTGTTCTGCTATGGATTTGCTGTAAGATTTTGGGTAAGTCACTTCACCGTTCTGGGTCTCCATTTCCTCATTGTTAAAATTAGAGAGACAGGCAAGGTCAGTGGATCTCAATCCCAGTTGCATATTAGAAACATCTAAAGAAGTTATAAATATACCTATACTTGGGCCTTAGCACCAAAGATCCTGTTTTTCTTGGACTGGGTGGGGCCCAGGCATCTGTATTATTTAAATGTTCCCAAGGCGTTTCTGATGTGCAGCCTGGGTTGAGAACCATTGCAACAGATGATCACCAACGTTCTTTCCAAGCCTTAAACTATGATTCTGTGAATAATCTATCAGGAAATAGCTATATAGTTACATGCATATTTATAATAACAAATATAACACACCTTAAAATATTCCATTTCAAAATGCCTGCTTAAGATGCTTTAATTTACTTTAAAAAGCACTGAATTACCCAAAGCAAATATAATAAAGGCATAAGTATCCTAAACATGACAAAGTATTTTCTGACTAGTCAATTCTAAAATAGCATAATGTGATGTGACATGACATACAACATAATATACACATTTCTAGGCTTTCACCTTTTAACCAGAATCTCATTCTATTGTGAGGTCTTCAGGTATCCCTCTAGGACATAAGTCAAATTTGTTATTATTACTGGTTTCAAAAAACTATAAGGACGTAACTTTTATTTGCAAAACAGTACTTACTTTAGAGATGCGAAAGAAGGAACAGTACTTATCATCCCAGTCTCTGCCATCTCAATGGCATGTTTTATTTCAAGCTTTTTATATAAGGACACAATGCTTGACTTGGGTTGGTTTTCCCGAATCAAAAGCTTCCGCAGGTATTTGTCATCAAACTTCTTAAACCTGGAATTAAAGAAAATCAAAGCTTCAATTAATTAATACTACACTGACTAAGAAAAACTTATTTTTACCAATAAAATCATTTCCACTAGTCCCAGGGAAAAAATTTAGTAAGCAGTGTTTAGTTATGCCAATAATTTTATTTATATACATATATATATACACACACACACACACATATATATTTTTTAATATGTGCATACCTGAATATATGTGTATATAAAATAAGTGTGTGTCTATATAGGTACAATTTTGTATATAGCCATGACATACATACATCCAATATTCACTAATTATAGATTAAAATACATATATTTCTACATTTCCTATTTCTCTGCTTCCCCTTTCAGCAAAGTTACTCAGAAGTATTAATACTCCCTATCTGCAATTCCTCTCCTCTGATTCTCTCTTGAACATTCACAAACCAGGCCTTTGCCTCCAATACTCCACTGAGGCTACTCATATTGAGGTCATCAGTGACCCCCACAATACAAATCCAATGGCCAATTATTAGTCCTCACCTTTCCTGACCTCTCCTGCTTAAAGCATTGTCTTTCAGGACACCACAACCCCCTGGGTTCCCTCCTGCTTCTTTCTCAGCCTCTTTTGTTGAGTCTTTTTCTTCTTTCTGGCCTCTTAACGTAGGAGTGCCCCAGGGTTCAGTCCTTGGTCCTCTTCTCTACCTCCACTCACTCTCCTGGCGATCTTGCCAAGTCTCATGGATTTTAATGGCATCTCTAAGCCAATGACTCCCAAATTTGTATCTCCAGCTCCAAGCTCTTTCCTAAACCCCAGAAATGAATATTCAGCTTCTTACTCAATATCTCCACTTGGATATCTAATAGGCATCTCAAACTTGACATGCTCAACCTGAACTGATCTTCTCCCACAGTTTTCCCCATTTCAGTTAATTACAACTCCACCAGGTCAAAAACCCTAATTTCACCTTTGATTCTTGTCCTTCTCTCATATTACATGCTATGGCCTGAATTGTGTCCCCCTAAAAATTCATATGTTGAAGTACCTCAGAATGTGATCGTGTTTGGAGATAGGGTCTTTATTAAATTAAAATGAGGTCATTAGGCTGGGCCTGAATCCAATGTGACTGGTGTCTGTATAATAAGAGGAAATTTGGACACAGACATGTACAGAGGAAAGACACTGTGAACAGGCAGGAAGAAGAAGGCCATTGTAAGCCAAGGAGAGAGACCTGTAGCAGATCCTTCCCCCATAGCCCTCAGAAAGAACCAAATCTACTGACACTTTGATCTTGAGACTTCTAGCCCAGAACTGTAAGGAAATAAATTTCCATTGTTTAAGCCCCCCAGTCTGTGGTACTTTGTCACAGCAGCGCTAGCAGACTAATACTCCATATCTACTCCATCAGCAATTTCTGCTGGTTCCACCACCAAAATGCATAGAAAATCCAACTATTTTTCACCACTTCTACTGACATCACCCTGGTGCACCATCATCTCTCAATGGATTCTTTACAATGGGCACCTAATTGGTCTCCCTGCTTCCACCATTGCATTCCTACAGCCTATCTTCGATACAGAAGCCAGAGTGATCCTATTAAAATGTATTCAAACTATATAACTCATCAGCATCTTACCTGAGTAAAAATACAACGACCTGGAGGCCCTACACAATTTGGAGCTGCACCTCTTGGTACTGTGCTCCTCTTATTCAGGTCCAGCCTCACTGGTGTCCTTCCTGTCTTGGAAATTTGCCACAATGCTCCACCTCTGGGCCTTTATATTTGCTAGTCCTTCTACTAGGAACACTCTTCCCCCACATACCTGCAGGGCTCATTTGCGGACCTCCTTTAAGTCTTTCCTTGAGAGTCATTTTCTCAAGAGAGCCTTTCCTATCCATCCTGTCAAAATTGCATACCACCCCCTGCAGCACTTCCTATTCTATTTCCCAGATATATTTTTCTCCATAGCAGTTTTTTTCCCTTGTAAAACCAGTGCCTAAACAGTGCCTGACACACTGTAAGCATATATGGTAGAATGGATCATTTGGTCCCAAGTCCTCCCTGTATCCACACCCTCTGCCATATTACTTGGCAATGTCCTTCCACCATGGCCTAGGTGACCTGGCTTGTCCTGTTTCCTGCCACTGGTCTCAATAATGTTACTTGCTTTGTTCAATGGGCTATTAGCAGACATGATGACGGGAGCAGAGGCTTAAAATGGGCTTGTTCATTGAAGCGTGCCTCTTGTGCTCTCACAATTACCATAAGAAAAATATGCATGGAGTGACTCATTAGTCCCAGGACAAAGGTGAATGTTACATGAAGCAGAGTTAAGTCACCCCAGTCACATCAGAGAAGGCCAGCCAAGATCAGCTGACAACTAGCCAACCCACTGACGCATGAGCAAGACCAGTCCAGATCAACCCACCCCAGCCCAGACCAGTCAACTCTCAGCCTCCTGACTCATGCAGTTTTATAATAAGTGACTGCTGTTTTGAGCAGCTAAGTATTGGGGTGGTTTGTTATGTAACATTATTGTGCCAATACATAAATGAAACAGCATGCAATAAATATTTGTTGAGAAAGGAGTAAGCGTATTACAGCGATTACCATAAACCCTGACACACCTGTGCTATGAAGAAAGTTAACCCACATTCTTGGTGCTACTCCTTTGTTCTAAATACTGGAGGGCTAGGAACAATTAAAGAGAGTCATCCTTAAAGTGCTTTGCTATACACTGGTCAGGACACTAAACACTGGGCCCACTTTTTTCTAAGTTTATTTTGAATTTCATGTTAGGCCCATTAAGCCAGGACTCCTGGCAGCAATACAACATCTTTTTAAACTTCTTTTATTATTATCATTGTTTTAGCTTTTCACTAATGATAAAAGGAAGAATAAACACTAAAGACAATGACATCTGATCTATTTAGCATAGGAATTGTGCACTCTCTTTCTTTGCTGTATTTCCACCCCTTTCATTTCTCTGCCAAGTTACACATAGGTGGTTCCTTTCTCCATCATTTTGCCAAGTTTGAGAAACTTCCCTATGCCATTACCCTCCCATTTCATTCTCAAAGGACCAAATGCCTCAAGAATTTTCTGGCAGGACCACCAAAAATTCACAGGATAAGGATTTCAGAGGAAAGGGAAAGAAACCCAACATACCTAAAACAATCATTTCTTTTTTATGTCATTTCTAGTAACATCAACAATTATGTACATACCAGAAATAGAATCTGAGCAGAACTAATTTTAAAAATGGCCTGTGTCAGCACCAAATCCCTCCATACCAGCTTCCCTGCCCTACCTGCCACATACAATGTACCTGACAATCCAGAAAATTATTTCAAATTTACCTGGAAAACACCAGGCATGGAAATATATAAGGGTTTATGAAATTATTAAATGAAGTATGTACACTGCAGAGAAAAATGGTGGATACGTAATATTACCTATCAAACATGGGCAAAGTCGGCCCTGCGACCTTTAGTATTTATAGTCCAAGTAGCCTAGCACCTGTAGATGTTTGCCTGGAACACGCTCACGTACCCCACAGATAGAGTGTCTCTGCCTGAGAGATAAGACATAGCCAGACTTTCCCTGACATTCCTTTGCCTGAATTCCAGACCAAATCCACATGATCACAGGGTGTATCTCTTCCTTCTTCTACCACTGCCCCAGGGCCTGCTGACCTGATTCCTACACCAACTCATCTCTATTTTGTTCCAGGAGGCAGACGAGTGGTATAAATCTTTAGTCCAACCCTCACTTTGGAAAAGGAACAAACCATTCTGGGTCACTACTCTCCCTGATCCCTTTAGGGAAGGCCTGACAGGATGCCAGAGAAAGGGAGGAAAGTGACTGAGTTGAAAGTAAGAAGGTTAGAGGGAAACAGGCACGCCTATGAAGACAACAGAGAACGAGAAGCAAGGAAGTCTGTAATCCTGGCCAGGCGCAGACAAGAATCCATCTTCGTCAGGAAGGTCCCAGGGATGTAAAGCCGAGTAGTGCAGAAAGTCACAAGGCAGACAGTTAGGGTCCTCTGGTCTACCTCCCGCCTCCAAAAATATGAACACTGCCCAAGATTAATGGTCATTTGTTTCATATTTTTACAATGGAGATTTTAGTTTGCTATATTTTATTACTTTGTGCCCCCGTGTGGCTAACTGGGCACTCTCTCCACACAAATAAAATATTTTTCTTTTAGTTATGAAGTAAGACTAGGTCCAAGTGGCCTTTCTATATTAGTAAACAGTGTGGTCAGGCTTGTAAATGTTGTTCTAGCACTAAAAGTCTCCAAAATTCATTTTATCACTCACCTACATCACACATACATACACACACACACACATACACACACCTGTTTGCTGTGTGACAGTTTTGTTGCCTTTATTATATCGCAAAATTGTAAGGGCCTGAGTCTCTGGCTCATCCTCCTTATGTAGTCCATGATCAGGTCAGAACACGTGAGCAGAGCAAGCACTCAAAGATGCCCTTATGTGAAATTACATAAAATGGTAGTTTGGTCAACTTCACGTAAATTAGCAGTTGGGAGGGGATCTGTTAGCAAGTTAGGAAAGAAAAGCAAGAGGACAGGAGGAATTCACCAAATCTAGCTTAGACCCTGTCCCTCTGTCTCTAGGGACCAGCTGAAATGCAGCCTCCTTCAAGTCTTTCCTAGCCAGTGATGTGCTGGTAAATGTTAACAAATTGCTTTATGGGGAAAGAAAAGGCCCTGATTTGTAGCATTTGTCAGTCCCATGGTACACTCCTGCCATGGCTCATTCAAGCTGCCACCGTGGATGGCACTGACCGTGAAGTCAGGAGGCACAGTCAGCTGCCACCAGCCAGTGTGGGCTGGCTCCTGCACCCACTGTGCCCAACCCCGCTGTCAGCATTAATCCTGACCTCTTGATCCCATAAGTCTGTTTTCAGTGTTATTAAAGCCTGCACCTAATTCTGCCTGGCTAGTCTACCTTTTCCACCTCAATGATAAGATCCTTGAAGAGCGGCACTGAATCTTATTTATCCAACACAGAGCCTTCAAAGGTAAAAAGAGAGATATAGATAGACACATTTCTATAAATGCACATAATCTTTCAGAGAAGTGTAGCTTTAAAACATTTGTTATTTCTGTTAGTCTTTTAACATCCTCAGGTGCTCTGAAGCTCTGTATTTGACAAAGCCCCTCAACACGTGTGGTGGAACAAATAGTAATGAAAACCCCAGTTTTCAAGCAAATAGACTGCATTCCTTAGCCTCCCCTGCAGTGAGAAATGCCCATGTGACTGAGGCCTGGCCACAGAAAGCCAGGCCATGCGATATAACCAGAAGAGTTGTGTGGAAGCTTCTCATAACTTTGGTTAGGAGGAAGCTAGTACATATTTTGTGTCTCTTCATTATCTTTTTTCCTAGATTGCAGCCTGGAATGTGCACCTGATGGCTAACGCTGGAGCAGCCATTTTGGTCCAAGAGGAAACTCTGGAAATGGAAATTCTTGGTGGAATCAACCAGACAGAAGGGTCCTGGGACCACGAGGAGTCTGTGGAGCATAGTTCATGGATTAAACCCACATTGCCTACCTCTGGCTATTTACAAAAGAGAGAAATATGTTTCCATCTTGTTAAAGTTACTATCGTTCCAGGTCTCTGTTACAGCTGAAATTTATCTTGAAGAACATACTATGGCATAACATAGGAAAGATTTGCAACTCTGAAAAATAACACAAGTCAATAAGTCCTGCTTCCAGAGTGATCCAGAGCCACTTCCTAATATAATGGCATAAGGCTTTCTTACTTGTCTCTCCAAAAGTTGTGACCCCAATGTCCACAAACATCTTCAATCCCAGTCTTCACATGATCAAAAAACTAAAACAGAAAAAGCAGGCTAATTGATTAATTTTTACCTGAAATCAGTAATTTCCACTCTATTTATATCACGCCTAAACTTCAAAGAGCTAGCCCTCGTGGTCTAGTGGTTAAGATTCAGTGCTCTCACCACTGTGGCCTGGGTTCGTTTCCCCATCAGGGAACCACACCAGCCATCTGTCAGTTGTCACACTGTGGCAGCTGCGTGTGGCTGTGATGCTGCAAGCTATGTCACTGGATTTCAAATACCAACAGAGTCACCCATGGTGGACAGGTTTCAGTGGAGCTTCCAGGCTAAGACAGCTTAGGAAGAAGGACCTGGCCACCCACTTCTGAAAACTTGGCCATGAAAACCCTGTGAACAGCGGTGGAGCACTGTCTGATATAGCGCCAGAAGGTGAGAGGATGGCACAAAAAAGGCTGAGCAGGGCTCCACTCTGCTGTACACAGGGTCGCTAGTGACTTGGTACTAACAACAAAAAGGCTTCACAGACCCTGATAGTTTTTGCTTTTTGGTTTTTTGTTTGTTTGTTTTCACTGAGAGCAAGAAAATAATTCACCTTCAAACAAATTGATGTGTGTCATATTGATATTATGCAATTCTTAGATTATTTTTCTCATCATAACAGTTTGCTCGTAATTTTGGAAAATACGAAATATGGTAATAATTGTCAAGTAGAAACATTTTCAGATTGAAAGAAGTTATAAGAGGGGATTCCTTGTCCCTCTACCCCTGCAGGAGTTCAGCAGGCTAACTCGGAGAAGCCATCGTGGGGCTATCTTCATCCCACACCCCCAGCTCACGCCTTTCTCAGCCTCCCTCTCTTTACCCTCTGCCATTTCCCCCTGCTTGGTGCCAAGCTGTCTGACTTATTCGAACAACTTTTTCTTTGATCATTTAAATTGTTGGACTACACCAACACCTACCCGACAATGGATTTCTTCACTGACAACTTGCTGTTTCCTGCTGGACCTCTTAACGTCAAGAAACTCCACCAGTGGTCGGATAGTTATCCCCTGCAGAGGGAAAAAAGTGAATTTTCTTATAAAACAAAATCAAAAATTCAAGAATAACTTTTATTCTCCTAAGCTTTGATAACCGAAAGATATCTTGTTCCCAGGATTTAATATAGTATGTCTAACATTTTGTTCATTTTTCCTTCCCCTTTAATAGCTGGCCTATTTCCAGAGGGTCACGTCCTAACACCTGCTGTTAGAAACAAATCATGGTCAACGTGCAAGAAAGTGAAAAGGAACTCTGAAAAACAGAAAAAGAAGAAATTCTAAAAAATAATAATTCTCTGATTCCAAGTCAGAGGAATCACCTACTTGTTGTATTATCCATAGGAAACTTTTTAATGATTCTTTCATTCATTAATTCATTGTAACAATTTTAATTAGCTTCTGGGGCAGACAAGTCAGCAGCTTGGGCAACAGGGACAGAAAGATGCAGAGCTAAGGACCCCGGCTCTGGGACTTGGCAGTCTGTGGAGGGAAGGATTTACCAAAAACAGTTACAAGTAGGTAAAGGAGGAATGAGAGAGAGACACAAGGAGTGGCTCAAGAAAGGCTTGGTAGAGAGGGAACACCAGGTCGGAGGCTTAAAAGATGCTGGAAGCATATCCTAGCAGACACCAAACACGGGCAAAGGATGAGAAAGGGCACAGAGTGGGTTTGAGCGTGTTCACCGTGAACTTGGGAAATGGAGACAACCATGAGCTTTTCAGGAAGCTAGGAAGAGAAAAACATTTCCTTAATATGATTAAAAAAAAAAATCTACCATAAATCTATAGTGAACATCTGACTTAAAAATAAAAGCTTAAAAGCATTTCCACTAGAACGAGGAACAACACCAGGATACTCCCCATCTGCTGTCTGACACAGCCCTGCATGTCCCAGTCAATTAAATAGGAAAAGACAAAGGTAGAAGCACAGATAGTGAAAACGAAATGACAAGATTTTTGTGGCTCATGGATGACCTATTTTTTTGTCCTAAAAAATCTACAATTCTTTTTCATTTAAAAATAACAAGGAAGTTTAGTAGAGTGATGACAAAATCAACATACACAAATCCATCCTATGTTCTAATTAAAAAAACAAAATCAACACCTACACAATAGCAATGAAAACTATATAGAGAATATATATGTAATACTAATATATACTAGCATATAATATATATATATTAGTATACTCTATAGATACTAAATATCTATATATACTTATATACTCTCTCTACATATGTTTGTAATATATAATCCTATCATGAAATGCACAAAACCTTTACAAAGAGAACTATAAAACTTAAAAGATATTAAAGAGATTTGAGATTTAAAAAGACACATAGAGTTCCTAAATGGGATTACTTAACAATATTATGAGGAAAATTTTATCTCCATGTATATGCAATGTAATTCCAATAATATGTTCCAAAGGGTTTTTAACAGAACTTGAGAGGTTAGATCTAAATTAGTCTGGAAGCGTAAATGTAACCAGAAAAATTTAGAAAGAAAAGACTGATGGGGAACTTACAGATGTCAAAACAAACTATCAGCTAATGTATTTTAAATTATATGATACTGGCACTAAAATGGGCGAGGTGAGGAGGGGGTGAACGTGGTCAAGGAAGATTCCCAAGTTTTTCCTTGGTTGGTAGATGGCTGCCACTACTTAGCATGAAGAACCCATGTATCAGAGGGGTTATTGGATTTGTGGGGGTGGGGGAGTGGATATGTTCAGAGATGTTCCCTGCTATGAATTTGATTTCTGTCTCACTTCTCTGCATGTCTTGAAGTTTCTATGAATGCTTCTGATAATATAAAGCAACTGTAACACACACACATACATAAATATTTTAAAGGATGTCATTCATTTTGTTCCATCAATCCAGCTTTGGGCATTTTTCAGCTTAACTTTAACTTTCTGAAGTACGAACTGATTTCACCAAATCTGGGGTAAGACATACCTTGTGTTCTATTTGCATTTCAGTATGCCCCTTTGAAATAACATAGGAGGTAATAACAGTTTTCCAGCCAACACATACTCTGTAATTTTTCACTTACGTAAGTGAAAACAGGTGTAAACATGTGGTTTACAGAGATGGGTGATTTCATTGAGTTCCAGATTTCATGAAGCCATTAGTTTAATAATAGCTCCAGGAAAAAAATCAACAAAATCATTAATATTTTTAATACTATACAATGTGTTCTAAGGACACTAACTGTTGTTTCACATGCCTTTTTTCTATCAGTATTCATTTAGTAAGTAATAATGAGAGCCTGGTATTTGTAAATATAGGACATAAAAATAAGGAAAGAACACAGGGCCTTCCCCAATCCCTATGTTGATCCTTCCACTAGACGGATAATGTGGAAGTGAACGCACTGTCACAAATAAAACTGATCCACTACAGGAAGCCAGTGTGGCCTGGTGCCCAATCAATGCAAGTTTGTAAAAGTACAACATATTTTAGTTTATAATTAACAGAACGTATTGATCATATGCAACAGAGCATTGACACTGTCTTTTAAAAATATGTATTTGTTTAAACAGCTCCTTTAACAGTCACCCCTTCCTCTGAAGCACTTGCAGTTGTCACGTCATGCTTAATAGGGCCTATCTGATAGGTTCTGCCTTCCTTCCCCTTCCTCCCTCTCCCCTTCCTTCCTCCATCCATCTATTCTGGGGGTAGAGTGCATGGCATCTGTGTACGTCATATCCAGTTCCCCAAGCTGGATGTTACATTCTAGGAGCTTGGATGTCTGGCTGTGAGAGAGAAAAAAACACCTTAGAGAAGCCACCTTATTTTACCACGTTGGAAAATTCCTACTTTAGGTCACCTGGTGAGCAACTTGATAAGGCTTAGAAAATAGCTTGTTACCATCCATGTAGGTTAAAAAAATAAAGAAACCCCTTAGTTTTCCATCAAACCACTGAAAAACGTATTTGCAAAGCATAAGTTAAATTTTCACCCATCCGTTCAGATTTGGCACAATAAACACAACACCTCCGAGCCAGGCCTGAGGGACTAAATTTTGCAAAAAAAAAAAAAGGAGGTGGGAGGAACTATCTTATATTTCTTTGCTGATTTAGCAGGCAATTTCCAGGTAAACTTGAAGAAAGTATTGCATTAAAAAATATCACTATCATTGCTATGCTATCCTCTATAAGTCTTTCTCATATTTCAAACCCGGTCACAGAGATCACGAACCCAGCCGTACACATGGTATTTGTTTGAGTGTGGGAGAGTGGGATGAGAATAATAAAAGTGTTCACGGGGGTGCTTGGGCCCCTCACGCCGCAGTCTCAGCGCCCTCTGTTTATCCTTCTTTCAGGACTTATCGTACTGCCCAGGCATCAGTTGTCATGTCTGTCTCTTCCCCTAAACCACGACTTTCCCTTCACTGTGTCATCAGTGTTTCTCTCTGCTGTACCAGCAGTGTTCAGACACGCTGCTGTGGTTCCCATCTGTGAAAAACAGAAACAAAAGCCCTTTTTTGGCACACATTCCCTCTGGCTGCCACCTCTTTCCTCTATCAGATCTCAACAGGGTTGCCTGGATCTCCTGTCTCCAATTTCTCTCTTATCCTTCGCCCGGGAATCCAAGCAATGGGGGTTTCGTCCTCACCATCCGCCCCAAGTGCTCTGGTGACACGGCCACTCATCATCAAGTGCTGCATCCAACAGTCCCTACTCTGTCCCCAGCTGACCTGACTTTGCAGATGCACCTGTCACAGTTCCTAGAACCCTGTCCTTCCTGAACACTTGCTTCATTTGACTTCTGAATAAGCCCCTCCTGACTTTTCCCCCACTTTACTAGTCACCTTTTTCAGTCTCCTAGGCTGGTTCCTCAACATTTTCTTGACTTCTAAATGTTAGCATGCCTTCTTTTCTATGTTCTTTCTGTACTCACTCCTTGAATAGTTTCTTCCAGAATCATGCTTTAAAAACCATCTATAGGGGCCAGCCGGTGGCACGGGGGTTAAGTTCGCATGCTCCACTTTGGCAGCCCAGGGTTCGCAGGTTCAGATCCCAGGCACAGACCTACATATGGCTCATCAAGCTGTGGCAGCATCCCATATACAAAATAGAGGAAGATTGGCAACAGATGTTAGCTCAGGGCCGATCTTCCTAACCGGAAAAAAAAAAAAAACTATATACTGTTATTAGTGCCGTCAAGTGGATTCTAACTCCTGGAGAGCCTGCATACAGCAGGGTCTTTTTGCACCATCCTCTCACCTTCCAGCCCTATATCAACAAGTTCCGCTGCTATCCACACAAAGTTTTCATGGCCAATTTTTTCGGAAGTGGGTGGCCAGGTCCTTCTTCCTAGTCTGTCTTAGTCTGGAAGCTCTGCTGAAACCTGTCCACCATGGGTGACCCCGCTGGCATTTGAAATCCTGATGGCACAGCTATCAGCATCACAGCAACACACAGCCACCACAGTGTGACAACTGACAGATGGGTGGTGTGGTTTCCTGACCAGGAAACGAACCTGGGCTGCAGCAGTGAGAGCGCTGAATCTTAACCACTAGACCACCAGGGCTGGCTTTTATATACTGATGAGTCTTAAATTTCTATTTCCCACTCTGGCTTCTCCCATAAATTCTAGACCCATGTATACAATTGCCTATTCAACACCTTCATTCGGATGTCCAATAGGCTAATGCTCATGTCCAAAACCAAACACCTAATTTCCCATCCTTTAAACCCAATACTCCGTTGGTATTAAATTAAATATCACCTTCTTGGGCCTGCCCGGAGGTGTAGTGGTTAAATTCGTGCGTTCTGCTTTGGCGGCCCAGGGTTCGCCAGTTCGGATCCTGGGCGCGGACCTACTCATGGCTCATCAAGCCATGCTGAGGCAGCGTCCCACATAGAAGAGCTAGAAGGGCCTATAACTAGGATATACAACTATGTACTGGGGATTTGGGCAGAAAAAAGAAAAAGAGGAGATTGGTAGCAGATGTTAGCTCAGGGCCAATCTTCCTCAAAAAAAAAAAATCACATTCTTTCAC